ATACCTGCCCTGGAGGAGTGCTGAAGGAAGAATGTTAAATCTGGCTCTGAAGAAAGCTATTCTTTGTTTTGGGGTTAGGGTTACCCACACCCACAATTGTTAACCGAAGCAAAGACACACAAAGATGCAAGTTGTAACTTGAAACACTGGTCTCTCCAATGCTCTCAGCTGACCAACATGTATTAGATTGATTGATTGATTTAATTTATATTGCTAGTGCTACCTAATCACCCATGGCGACCCAATTGTGAAACAGAGGTTAGGATTGTGGTGGTTGACTTTTTCTTAAAAGCATTTGGCATGATGTGATTAATCTTGACTGGGTATTTTTGTAAGCTTTCCTTCCTTCCCTTCCTCTTCTCTCTTCCCTCTTTTAATTTTCTTTCCTTTCCTTTCCATGCCACCCATCCCCATGGTTGACCATGTCCTGAGCATCCCTTTATGTTCGGTGAAAATGCTGGGTAAATTTTTCTCTAAGGAATTCTTGGGCTATCGGTAAAAGATTTTAAGGGTGCAAATGGAAGTAGGACTTGTCCCTCTGGACTTCCCTTTTTTTCCCCGGAACAAAATGAAATTTTGGATCCTCTTTTGACCTCTTGGATTGTCCACAAACCCCCCCCCCCCATCCAGCCTGAGACCCAATCCTCACACATTCTCAATGAAGCTTCGTTGGGTAGAGGACATTCCTTCTAATTTTACAAGGAAGAGAACATAATTAAATGTGTACCTACAAAACAATATACCTCCTGCCTTAGGCAATGAACACACCTGTTTATTATACAGGACACTGAGGGTCAGGCAAAGGTGCCAGCTTTGTGGTTACGAAAAAGAATTTTGTGGCTTTTCTAAAGCAAGGTGGTTGAGCAGGAAGCTAAATTCTGCTGTGACATCTTTGTGTATCTGGGTTAAATCATTAATTGTGTGGCTCGTAATTTTTGACCAGTGTTTCTTAACATTTGACAACTTTTAAGACATTATAATCTTCAACTTCCAGAATTCCCCAGCCATTACACATCTTTAAGAGTTGCTAAGGTTGAGAAACACTGGCTTATTATACTTAGCTAACAAGCATGCTAGCTGAGGAATTTTGGGAGTTGAAGGCCAATTTAATGTCTTAAATTTGCCAAGCATGAGAAACATTGTATTACTGTGTTTTCCTGAAAATAAGACAGTGTCTTATTTTCTTTTGGCTCCCAAAATAAGCGTTGGGCTTTATTTTTGGGGAGGTCTTATTATTTTTGAGGTGCAGGAGGTGGTGAGTGTGGTCACCTCATGGCTGCTGCTGTGTTGC